GAAGTTGCCAAGACAGCCATGTGCAAGGATAAGATGACCATCGGGACGAGGTATGTGGAGCTGTTCCCGTCAACCCCAGAGGAAGCAAGCAGGGCGAGATCCCGAGGCAGGCATTGATGAAACGAATGGCTCAATGATCTCTGGTTGCATGTGGCTGCGATCAAGTTTAGTTTTCACTTCGCATGCTTACCTATATCGCTGTTAGATTGTGTTTCGTATCGTCATGCTGCTACTGCTCGTGTATTTGAGTATTTGACTTCTTATATGCGAACTGAACTGTAACAATTTTTCTTTGTTGGATGCACATGTTTGCCATAATCATTTATGAATTTTTGCTTCATTTTAGTTTATCCATGTTCTGTTTCTTTCGTTGATGCTGGGGATGTGATGGAATTTTCGTGTTGCAGTGAAATAGCTTGGTGAGCTCACTTTGCCCCCATAAGCTTGTGGTAATTGTGTTGCCGCTACATTGTAATAGAACGAAATGAGATCGTCCCTACTGACGCTTCAAAAAAATGTTAACCACTGGGGTTGTTGATTTACTGGCAATACATATCGAAGGCTGAAATTCCTTATAAAAGAAAGGCTCATATCTAAAGCTGGAATTCCTCTTAAAAGAAAGGCTCAAATTTGAGCATTTGCAAGTGTAGATTTCCAAACGTTGGTGCTGACGAATATCAACTGGCAGTGCATATACAAGGCTCAAATTTTGAGCATTATCAAGTGTAGATTTTCAGTTCATTAGCAGCGCTTGTCAATGTGACTATCTTCTCACCCTTGTTTTCTTATCCAACTGATCTACAATAGTGTTTAGAGATTTGTTCTGCTCCAATGCATGTTGCAATCTATCTCTGATCGTTCTACTCCACTGCATGTTGCAATCTATCTCATATCTGTTTATCCAATTGTTGTTTGTAAACTACCGATTACAGAAATTACTAAATACACATATACGTGAGATGAAACAATGTAATAAAAAAATGGAAGTTATAATGTTGTGTGTCCAATTGTTGTTTGTATAAACTACTTATTACAGAAATTACTAAACATACACATACCTGAGATGAAAGAATGTTCTCCCTCTGTCCCGAGTAACAAGTCATTCCAATTTTTTTGGAGAGTCAAAGCATGCCAAATTTGATCAAAATTATAGAGAAAAAATAAAAAGATTTATAACATCAAATAGTTATACTATAAAAATATAATTAATAAAGAATCTATTGATACTTATTTGATATAAAAAATGTTATTATTTTATTATATAAATTTAATCAAACTTGTGATGTTTTGAGTCTTCAAGAAAGTTGGAATGACTTATAATTTGGGACGGATGGAGTAATAAAAAAAAAAGAAATGGAAGTTTGAATGTTGGGTGTCCAGCTTGAGTAGAGACCATAAGAAGGATGCCTTTCTTTTTCTTGGATATTTAACCATTTGCCATAATGGAACTTTTTCATATGTTAGTTTTAAGGAACGTTGCAAGTTTGCAACATTTCTGCAACTTTTGCTGAGAGAACGTTGCAAATATTTCTGCAACTTTTGCTTGCGTCGCTATCAGCATGGATTAGGCACAGGGAAACACCATGACGCCCTCTTTTTTTCTTTCTCGTTCCTTTCTTTCCTCCTATCCCTCGCCCTGCCTACCTACTGAGTGTGTTCTGTGACTTATACGAGTACTAATACAGTTATACAATAATTCAGCTAAAGTTTATTATGCATGAATGAAAAAAAAGATAAAGATGCATCCAGAAAGTCATTGCAGCAGCAGGTGTCCTCATCGTGGAACATAAACAACTTCGTCGTCACTACGTTTTCCATCCAACCAGTGGCGTAATCGGCAGGGAGTGGAGCGCCTGCAACGGCTGGAGCTGCATTAGCTGCACACGGTTGTTGGATACAAACGAGTCAGACACAATCCAATCCCACAACGATGTTGACACTGCCACGCCACATCCCACACAATCCAATCCCAACCATAATCGCCGGCAGCCGGCGCCCGGCGTGCATAGCTGATAGCTCCGCCAGTCCCATGGCTCCGCCGCTTGCTCGCCTCATTCTGATCCTCCTCGCTGCCGCCGTCCCACTCTTGGCTGCACCCGCGGCGGCGGCAGCAGCGGTGTTTCCGAGAGAGGCGCTCCCGACCAGGTCCGGCTACCTCCCCATCCCGCCCGCCAACGCCTCCCTCTTCTTCGCCTTCTACGAGGCCTCAGACCCGGTCACGCCACCGGCCTCCACGCCACTCCTCCTGTGGCTGCAGGGCGGGCCGGGCTGCTCCGGCCTCCTGGGCAACTTCTTCGAGCTCGGCCCCTACTTCGTCAACCCCGACGGCGAGACCCTCTCGCGCAACCCCTTCGCGTGGAACCGCCGCTTCGGTCTCCTCTTCATCGACAACCCGCTCGGCACCGGCTTCAGCGCGGCGCCGTCCGCAGCCGACATCCCCACGAACCAGTCCGACGTCGCCGCGCACATCCTCGCCGCACTGCAGTCCTTCTACGCCCTCGACCCGACCCTCCGGGCGCGGCCTTTCTTCCTCACGGGCGAGAGCTACGCGGGCAAGTACATCCCCGCGGCGGGCGCGCACATCCTGGACGCGAACGCGGCGCTTCCCGAGGCGCTGCGCGTGAACCTCCGCGGCGTGGCCATCGGCAACGGGCTCACGCACCCGGTCGCGCAGGTGGCCACGCACGCGGACTCGGCCTACTTCCTGGGCCTCGTGAACGCGCAGCAGAAGCGGGAGCTGGAGGCGCTGCAGTCCGAGGCGGTGTCGCTGACGCTGGCGGAGCGGTGGGTCGCGGCGTCGGACGCGCGCGGGCGGGTGCTGTCGCGGCTGCAGAACATGACGGGGCTGGCCACGCTGTACGACTACGCGAAGCAGCGGGACTACGCGACGGACGCCGTGGGGAAGTTCCTGAACCGCGCCGAGGCCAAGTCCGCGATGGGCGCGCGCGGGGACGTGGCGTGGGCGGAGTGCAGCGACGCGGTGGGAGCGGCGATGCACGCGGACGTGATGCGCAGCGTGGTGCCGCAGGCGGAGTCGCTGCTGCGGCGCACCCGCGTGCTGCTGTACCAGGGCGTCCGCGACCTCCGGGACGGCGTCGTGTCCACGGAGGCGTGGCTCGCCGGGGTGCGCTGGGACGGCCTGCGCGCGTTCCTGGACGCCCAGCGCGCCGTGTGGCGGACGGAGGACGGTGAGCTCGCGGGGTACGTGCAGCGGTCGGGCGCGCTGGCGCACGTCGTGGTGTATGGCGCCGGCCACTTGGTGCCGGCGGACAACGGCCGCGCGGCGCAGGAGATGATCGAGGGCTGGGTGCTCGGGACGGGGCCGTTCGGCCGCGGTGGCGACGGCGACGGCACCAGGAGCGCCGCATGATGTGGCTGCCCGAGCACCCCGGCAGGCACGGTGGAATGTCCAAATGTGTCCAAGCTAATTACTGCGCGATATGGATTCTAGTTGCTCGGATTTGAATGGATTTCATTTGGATGTTTTAACTGTTTGTTAATTGGAATGGAAAAATGCAATTCCTTTGAGACTTTTGTGTGTCATCTGTGTTGCAGCCTCCGTCTGATCGCTCCAAGGTTGGCCAATCCGTTGCTTCTTCTCACCGTTGTCTCTGGCAGCAATCCGGCAACGCCTCGCTGTCAAGGCACGGCAAACAACCATGAAAGCCTCGTGTCATGTCCCGCCAGCCATTGCCAGTAACTGACTAAATCCTTTTTGAAGCCTCCGTCTGATCGCTCCAAGGTTGGCCAATCCGTTGCTTTTTCTCACCGTTCTGGCAGCAATCCGGCAACGCCTCGCTGTCAAGGCTCGGCAAACAGCCACATGAAAGCCAAAGCATAATCCGTCACGGCCCTAGCTGTTCTTCTGTTCCAATTCCAACAGCTCACCTCGCTCGTAGGCGTGGAACCGGAGCCCCAGGCGCCCACCGCGACGTGCTGGCAGCGTCTCCACTCTCCAGAGACTGGCGTGAACACGGAGCATGCAACTGGCTCGATCCGATCAGACACGCAGCGTTTGCTGCGTGCTGGCCTTTGATGCAGGGCTTCCAGGAGACTCGCCGGGCGGCCGGGGTAGGTGGCGGAGCTCGTGGAGGGAGTATGGCCGAAGTTGGCGTACGAGCCTGCCACCATCGTATCCCTTCCAGCCGGCGTTCATCGCTGTCCAGTCCACCATGCTGGATCGGAGGACAACAACCTCGCCAGGTCCAACGTTTTTTTTAGTTTAAGGGCATTCGCCCCGCCCTTTCAATTAACATCAAAAGACCACGAGTTATTACAGCACAAGAGTTTTAAATCCAAAAATGCGTCCACCAGGACTTAGACACCAAGAAAAGATACAGCCTGAACAACTCTCTCGGCCAAGGCACTATAACCAACACATCTTCAAGCCAGGTTAAGCGAGATTGCAACGGCTCCGGTGGCCCAAGCAGACCAAGCAACACCAACAGCAACGATGTTGACGCAGAAACGGAAAACGCCAATTAGCCAGGCAAAATTATAGGGAAAATAATGTTGGAAATCTATTCAGCTCGTTAACTAGAATCGGACCAAACAAACAAACGTATATGAAATAAAGGGGATCAGCTTTCACTAAGCAGTGAAGAAATTTAAGTGAGAAACAACACTCCATAGATGGGCTATTGCATGAGCCCGGCTTGGCAAGCAAAAAGTTCTGGAGGTCCGGAGGACAGCTTTAAGCGAAAGGATAACCGTATTTTCACCTACTCAGGCAAGTTTGGAGGTATGCTTCATTAACCAAACGACTCTGGGCACTACCACGAATATCCTATTGAACTAGTGAAGAACCAATAGCACATCAGCTTCTTCTGAACAGGGCAAACAAATCACGCCGGCTCCTTGGATGAGCCATGTTCAGCATGCTTCGTATGATTATTACATGATTGAAAGAGAAAAACACTTCAGCAGAGAAAGTGAGCCCTGTCTCATTCAAGTGAAACCAATCTTGCACTCAGCAATACATATAGAAGATGTCGCCTCATCTAATACTGTTGCACCAAACCTGCACAAGGAAAACAGTTTGTGAAATTACATCAAAGCAGACATAAAGCAGATCAAACAAAATATACAGAGACCGTTGCATTTATGTATACCGACCATCTTCTACCACAAACTCTTTAGAAAGGTATTATCAACAAGAAACTCTTAAAAGGTTCCATAAAAAGGAAACACTTCAAAGGTTTGTGGAAACTGGAAACATATGCATAGTGCTGACTAGGCAAACGTCAGACTGCCATTGGGTTCCTTCATTCAAATGTTTTAGCTACTAAGCTGGAAGAAACGATATAATGAGTACACAAAAAGCTCTGTTGTCTTTCCATCCTTTTCATACTTCCATATTTTGTTCCCTGTTCCTGCCATGGTTCTTTAAATCCTCTAATATATAAAAAAAATTAATATGAAAACTCAATAACATATCCCAATATGAAACAGAGAAAGCAGTGAACATTAATGGAACATGTTTTGACTAGAATTAATACTGAGGGCTGCCTTCATATACTCCAAAGATATCTGCAGACACCTCATGAAAAGGACTCAAATATAATAGTGTAATAAAAGAAACAAGTAGCTAGCATCCTTTTATCTTTGTGTTGGATGGGAATTCCATGACGATTCTAGTAGTGACACTTCAGAAAATATTGTCTCTCAGCTGTTTTTTATATCCTTAACCTAGTATTTTTGCATGTGGGTTGTTTGGTGCTCTCATTACGTAAAAGGGTTGGGTAAGAACCTTAAGGTTTAGAACTTCGGCTGAAAAACTAATGTAGTTTGGTTGCTATTTGTAACAGAATCCAGATGATCCATATGGGAAGCAAAGGAAAAAGAAAGTCTTGAATATTGCTGGAAAGATAAGATATCATATCATGCAATAGAGTCTTTGGAGACCATGGCTGACTCTTCACCAACAATATTAGGGACAAGCTCTAAAATCTTAATGGGCCACAGAAAACTTCAGCAAAGTATTCAACATAGGTCTTATGTCGATCAACTTTCCTCAGCAGATCAAACTTTTGGATGAAATATAATCCACTCTCACTTATACAATAGATAAACTCGCAAAAGTACTTCATGAGTAATATACCACTAACTTTGACAAAAAAAAATGTGGTACAGAGATCCATTGGTTCAAATAATAAATATATGATATTAACTTTGAGACACAAAATCAAATTTCTTTACCTTCAAACAGGACTCGAGCTTGAGCTGAAGCTCTTCTGCATTTTAGTAAGTCAACTAGTGGATCATCAAAATGATCTGGGCACTTATCAACATACAATGTGCGAAGAAGCCTTGCTTTAGAGAGAATAAGCTTCATAAAAGAAATTTAATTTGGAAGCCATTTAATATGAATTATCTGCACAACTTGAAGATTGGCACACATGCCATCAGTCCACAGAGCATTTAGGAACTCCCAATTCGCATCGATACTCTGATGATCATCGTCATAAATCTTCACCCCCCCAAAAGAAAATCAGCTGTAAACAATAAGATTACTTTTGAACAGTGTAAAGAATGGTATCCAAAAGGCAACATCCAACATTACCTCTATTTCTAACTTTTCAAGGTTGTGACAACTCCTTAGCAAGGTGAACATGAACAAAATGTGTTGCATTTGAGTAAAGTCCAGATATAGTTTCAAGTTCTTCAAGTTATAAAAGGTAAATGGAAGTGTATATGGCATCTCAACATCGTCAACCTGTGACAAAAAAAAACATATGAGAGCATTGAAACTGGATACGGCATCTCAAAAGTACCAACGTGTGACAAAAAGAAAGAGATTATATAAAAACATTGAAACAGGATGCTGAGTCTAGAAATATGGATGAGATTCTGCGTTATTTTGAAAAAAAAGGATCCTAGGCACATGGAGGCAGAGCAGAAATGATAAGATCGTTTCCTTTATCAGTGTGTGCCGTTTCAAGTTATTTAATTAGTCTAGGCGACCATGGTTATTATTCATCACCTATGTAATCAGCTCGAGCTAAGTACTAGTTTCAACCTCGATTTATGCCAAAGCACAGAAAAAGGAGAAAGAGGTGAAAACAATGTACCGGCGAGACGAGCGTAAGATTTCGAACTTGGGCAAACCGAGCAAGGAAATCTCCGAAATCATGTCCATACTGTGGGTAGAATGTCCACTTGAATGTTGGCATCTTCGAGGCATGGCAGCTCTCCAATTCGCCAGTCATAGTCATCATGTGAATAGATTGTTAGGCTACGGAGATTAGGCGCCTCAATCACTGAGTGTGGGCAGCCAAGAGGGATGAACACATTAGACATATATAGGGCATGAAGCAAGGGTGACCGACGAATGATAGCCTCCAATTGATTCTCCCCATGGGCTAGGAAGTGAACAAACTTAAGGTCTAGCTCCTGGAGCGCGGGGAAGCCGGCGAATCCTATGGGGAGGGATGGAATGTTGCAGCGTTGCAGCCGCAGGGATGCGAGATCAGCGAAGGAGAAGATGGAGGAGTGGAGGTTGAAGTAGTAGACTGATCTGAGTCGGCAACGCATGTGGATGGACTCGACGCGGCAGCAGGAGAGCGCGAGGAGCCAGTCGTCGACGCGGCCGGCAGACGCGTCGTCGACGTAGATGTCGAAGAGGGAGACGCGGGGGCCGATGTAGCGGAGGAGGACGCTGTCGACGACCGAGGGGTGCGTGCCGAGGGGGAAGGAGAGAGAGAGCACCGAGAGCGACTTCCAGAGGTCCCGCCAGGCGTGGGAGAGCGCGGAGGTGCGCACGGCGTCCCGGAGGTCGAGGCGGACTAGGATTTCGTCCTGCAGCACCACGGTCGTCCGCCGCCGCCGCCTGCTTCGGCTCCATCATGGCTGCAGTCCCAGACTCTTCGCCTCTCCGCGAGGCAGCGACTCCTGGCAGAGGCGGCCGCCGGCGACGGCTCCCTTCCCTGTGTGCGTCGTTGCCTCCAACGATCTAGCCTGCTAATGGCCCATTTCTCTGTGCGCGGAAATATACGCAGCTGGAGGCCCGCGACCGGCCCATGCTACCATGTACCATCACGCCGGCCCTCTACAGCTGTATCGGATTTGGCCTACTTCTTCCGAACAATAATCTCAACGCTTCCGCTCTTGAATCCGCTAACAAGAATTCCGAAGTCAACGAGCATTTTCTGGTGATTAGTCTAGCTAGCTCCTCACAGAATCTCCGCTCCGCCTCCTCCTCCCTTATCCGAAGCCTCTAGTCCCCTCCCGATTCCACCTCTAAAGCTCCGATCCATGGCGTCTCACGATCACCACCACTCCCATTCCCACGACGACGACCAGCACCATTCCCACGGGTGCGCGCGTGTGCCATCACTCTGAGTGATCAACCTATGGTGCTATCCGTATTTTTTACTAGATCCAAACTTAGGCCATTCGTATTGTTATGGATATATCCGTATCAACCTATGGTGTGTGTTTTTACTGGATCCAAACTGAATTTAGGTCATTCCTATTATCATGGAAATATCCGTGTAAACCTGCCTATCCATCTGAATATTTCAAAGTAATAGTTTCTACTGGGTTGTGTTGCCTCTCGTCTCAATTTTGACTAGTCCATCACGCGCGTCATCGCGCGCGTCGGCAAATCACCTAGTTAAGGCGCAGAAAAAAAATATGTTTAATCTTTGCATGGAAGCAATATTAGGAGTTTAATTTAGATGACTGTTGATCTAAACTGAAAGGTTGGGCTGATGAACATACCATGATGGATGATTTCTGCTCCAGTGTTGCAAGTACAAACACTGAAAATTAGCAGGAGGCAGTTCCTGTACTTTCAATTTGGATTATGTAAACCACCAACCAACATAAACAGAAGAGGAGAAAATATACTAATCTAGACTGGCTTAGATTTATGAAGCTAGGTAAAGAGTCACGGGAATTACAGTGTAGCAAAGGAATGGCATTAAAGCAATAGCTAAAATAAACCCCACTAAGTTTGCATTAGTTTAAAAAAACAAGTGTGAATGTGAAGCCGATAAAAAAGGCAAGTTTGAGAATCAATAGAACCACGAAAGATGTACCTCATTAGGTGTGGTGTACACGACATCTTAGATGTCCAAATTTGTTAAAAAAACTAAAATGATAGATATATCGATTAGTTGACCTCTATCTAATGGTATATACATCAACCTAAAAGTTGTATCCTGCTACGATCAACAATAGCAGGGAGACATCTTCTGGTTATTTAGTTTCCAACTATTAAAATGATACTGTCACCTTCGGAAAATGTTGCTACATGTAGGCAAACGAACGGTCCTTGCTTATAAAGAGGCTAGACAGGGTATCCTTTTTTAAGCTTTGAAGAAGCTGAACTGTATGTTGTAGGTCAATTCATTTACAAAGGACATGAAAGGCTATATAAGTAAGGCTTACCTAGTAGTTCTGTTGATGGATATAACTCTAAATTAGGGAATAGCCGTCTGTTTTTGTTTGAGGGGCTGTGCAGGTGTTGAAACATCCTCAATTTTCTGCGAAGGAAAAATCCACAGAATGAATTATAATATGATGAAATCGATAGTTGATTCCATCATATTATCATATATGAGTCGATATCATAGTCATACATCGTAAGATTATAAGAATACAAGATATTACATCACTGGGGAACACACCTATTACAGAGTTAATCTAGCGGAAGACTATCGAGTGAAGGCTTTCCCTTCACGGGTCGTCATCAGAGTTGGCGTAGTGCAGCGTAGATTCCATCTCCGAACCAAACTTGAGCATAGGCACGAGACCTCCTAATCCTTCTATAGTCAAGATATCTCGAGAAGCGTGAAATCAGACACCGATGATGTGCGAGTGCCATGGTCAAAGACCGATGAGCTTTAGTGGAAAAAGATAAAACAAGAGAATCTGGCGATCCTAACATTTGGTCGTGGTTTGCATCCTTAGCGCATAAAAAGTAAATAATGATAGTAATGTAATAATAATGTCCGATTTTAACACATTCCCGACCACACACATCCACCTCCATCCATATCCATCCACCAACCATCCACCCCAAACCATCTCCACACCACCACCCTTATCTCATCTCACACACTCAGTCGACAGCCAACTCCCTCTCGGCCTTGTCTCAACGGCCCATGACCCCAAGGCTCACGTAGGAAAATACCCCAAACCACGGAGGAAGAATAGAAGGACTCATCTCCTATCTAGTTTAAGCGAAACCCAGGAAAGGTCCATAGCCGACAAGTCGGCATATGTATCGATCGATCAAACATACACTCAGAGAGGTTTTACATACCCACAAGATAGCCATCCTCGGCGGATGTGCCCTGTCTAGGCGATTCCGGCCGCTTGCTAGCCTAGAACGATGCCACCCTACCTCTCATACGAACATAACAATTCTAGTGCAGGATGGGCGTCATCGTGAGTCGTGAGATGAGCCGGGCCCACCAGATGTCAAGAGCCGGTCCACAAGGCCTCCTGAAGTCTCGGAAGGTGTGGGGGAAAACCACGCACCCCTGCACCTCCTTGCACACGTTCGCCTAGCAGTAGTGGCATCGCTCTACCAAGTAGTCCGACCGTCCCGCACCATATAGGGCGAGTGGGATGTAGAGGATTCCCGGTGAATCTGAGTACTAGTAAGTCCTTTGGGGTGACCAAGCCAAAATGTCTTCATCAGGGTTTTCATTTACCGTGCCACCACAACACCTCCACCCCGGGCTCCACCTCTCCGAGGTTCACACCCAAGGCCACCTCCAATTACCATTTACCCGCCACAGGTATTCCATATCCAAGTGCCCGTGTAGCACCACATGGCAAGACTCGCCCTGTGCTCGTCGTTATTCCATTTCGGTCGACACAACCCTCACTCTCCATGCACCCAAGACACACGCAAAGACGCTCCACACACCACCAATCGGCACCCATAGCCAAACCACTCCAGGGGGTTCACCATCAGCATCACATCCCCGATATAATGCGAAGTGGAGTTAATAATAAGTATAGTGGTGTAATATGCAAGCAAGCAGGCAAGTAAGCATATATAAGCGAGCGAATGCGCAAAGCAGGGTGACGTGGTAGAGTGGGTTGCATCAGGGTAATAATAGCTCAGGTAGTAGTATGCATCAAAGTACTAGCAAAGGAATAATTTATAAAGCGCTAGCAGTTCTAGATTTTATGCAATGTCTAATAGGATTTTCTAAAAGAGGGTGCTGTCATGACACCTGCGTTGTAGAGGTAGTAGTGGTTCAATTCTCCATTTGTTGGTGTTCTATTAGCGAGGTTACCTCCTCCTACGTTGGCTCCTTTCCGCAGTCCTTGTCGTCGTCCACGTTCTCTTGGTCCGATTGTCAGCTACTCCGTGAAGCAACACGCAAGGCAAGAGAGCACTCAACACTCAAAAAAAGACGACAAGACGCGGGAAAATCCAAATAACACCAAAGTGAGGTAATAAGAGATACACAAACTTAGCCTCTCGGTGGTGGTTGTCCGATTTCCTCGAGCCAAAGAGACAAGAGTGGTGGTTTGCTATGCACAAGCTTTAAGTCATGGCCAAGCCAAGATGGCTTTAGGATAGATGGTTTAAGCCAAAGCTTATCCATAGCAACACCATGGCTCACGATCTTCGATCCGGTGTCATTGAATTGACGGGATTGGAAGTCAGGCCTCAAGAAAGAAGGACGACGGGGTTCGGCTCTTGTAGCCTTCTCCTGCAAGTCACAATTAGACGCGAGATGCAAACAAGAACAAATAACACTATTGTTACTTGGCTCCAACGTGCTTGGCTCTCCGCTTATGGTAGGAAGCGGAGCGCAAAGAGATTATACATCAATGGTTCCCTCGATCCACACGACACAATAACGTCGGGAGCCGAGAGGAGAGTCGCTCAATCACGACAAGAGATGCGGGGGTTAGCTAGGCACATCCATGTCATGTTCTCAGACACATCTTCGGAAAAGATGGTTTTAGACGGTCGATCGGGTCGACACGCACGGGTCCGAGGTACGACTTAGACCTTAGCTTTGCTAATGAAAGGGAATAGTCCGGTCTTTGATCCAATCGTCACGGGCAAGACGGGATCGAACAAAGCGGCTATCGGGGCAATAAGAGCAAGAACAACCAAGAGCAAGGTCTACTTCTAACGCACACACCATGACAAAGACGGGGCATCGAAAGGAGCGACACTCAAGAACACCAATTGCGCAAACCACTCATAGGGTACCCGACTTAGGTGCACTGGCACTAAGACATCTCTCTAATTCATAGCGGTGCGGTTGTCACCGCGGGAATCAAGGAAATGCGATGGTCATACAAGGTACAAGCATACGGGGGTTTGAGCACGAAGAGGCAAGTAAAAGTAAAAGAGTGGCGTAGCTCCATGGTCATGGCGAGGTGAACTCGCGGCCACAAGTTATACCGACGAGTTGGCACCCATCGTTCCACGATTGTTATCTCCAGGTCATCTCCCACAGGACTTGGTCATGGAGGGCTCAAGGCGTGCGGGTGATATCCGCATCGATGTTAGTATCGACATCGAATCCATCACGACCATGTTCTAGGGCCGAAGGCAGGAGCTAACACTCGTGGTACTATGAAGTCAACTAAAAAGTGAGGGGTCGAGTTACACTCGGCGTCACGGCTATGGCGAGACAGATCCCGCGATCGTAACGTCCGAACGAGGTACGATCTCTCAGCCAGCTCGAAGGCTCGGCACATAGGCAACAACACCAACATCCAGCGATAAGAACCAAACACGACTGAAGACGCAACAACTCGACACGGCTGTGGAGTAGCACATTCCATAGCTGGGTGATGGATAGATCCTGTAAAACAATCATGGACAGATGGGTCGTAAGAATAGGGCCCATCAAGGTAGATTTGCGTATACGGAAAAGTGCAAGAGGGGCTTTCCATGGTCTCGGTAAGACATACGGCTAGGGTTCATGGTACAGGGGTTACGGCTCGTAGTAGACGGGGTCATGGTGGTCTCGGCCAGCGAGGCCATGTGGTCTCGGCAACGGTGGTCTCGGCAACAGTGGTCTCGGCAACGGTGGTCTCGGCGTCTCGGCAATGGTGGTCTCGGCAACAGTGGTCTCGGCAATGGTGGTCTCAGCAATGGTGGTCTCGGCGTCTCGGCAATGGTGGTCTCGGCAACAGTCTCGGCATTGGTGGTCGAAAGGCTGGCCGAGGTGGTCGAAGAGCTTCGCCGATGTGGTCGGTGAGATCACGGAGGTGGTCGGAAAGGTTGCCAACGTGGTCGGTGAGATTGCCGAAGTGGTCGGAAAGGTCGCTAAAGTCCTCGACGCTGGCGCGGTCTCATCCTCGGCATGACGTCAGCATGGCGTCGTTAGAGCTAAACTGCGGCTGATAGGTGGGCCCTTGGCACTAGTCACTGACATGTGGGTCCTGTCAATGGTCAACGCTGACCGTCAACAGTCAACAACACCGACCGCTCAAGTGGGCACCGGAGGCGGGTCAAGAAAATGGATATGGGCGATTTGGGGGTCATCCATGGTGGGCGACATGGTGTGGCCTAGTGGAACATTGGGAGGGTTCTTTGTGGACCACATCCACGCTTGGGCGTAGCGGCGTGGTGCAGTATTGTGCACCCAGTGCATATAGAACGAGGAAGAAAGGGCACTTGGATCCCCTGTTTCTACTCCGGTATCTCGTCGGCGGCAGGGCGTGCAGGGTTGGTTCCGGTGGGGTTTTGTGGCTGGGTGGTGCATGTCGTAGGGCCACATGGAGCATCTTTGTGGGGTTTAAAAGCGGGCCTATAGGTGGCGGCTCCGGTGACCAAGTTCCACGGAGGAGTCCATTGTGGCGCGAGAGACGCAGGGCGAGTTCGGCGTCTACCTGGTCGATGGCGACAAGCGTTTTGGGCGAGCTAAGGACTCAACCAAACTAGGTGGCTAAGGCGCGGTTGGCTAAGTGGAGTCCATCGGCGCGATCATGCCGAGCGAGGCTACCGGAGACAAGCGAGCGCAGCACGGCATGGCGGCGCCACAGGAGCGCCGTCGGTGAGTGAAGTGGAGGTAGTCGGGTACTTGGGCTTCTTCGCCGGGGGCTAGAGCGGGTGTGTCCCACATCAGGCGAGGATGTAGAGGCCGATCCTAATGCCTAGGTCTTCGTGGTAGGGCGAGCGAGCAGGCGGCGCCATGGTGGGGTTTGGCCATGGCGAAGCGTGATTTGGCGCATGCGGATGGCGCCAGTGTTCGAGGGGCTCGCGTGGCCCAACGAGCGAGGTGGCCGGAGGCGTAGAAGCATAGTGCCAACAGCGGCGGTGGCATGTGGGCGCAATGGTCCGGCGAGGCGGACGCAGACGACGGCCTCCGAGGCTCATCAACCAAAGGGGCGAGCACAGGATATGTTCAATGAAGAGGCGAGGCTGGCATAAAGGGTCTCCGTGTACTGCGGACATGGGAGAAGGCCGGGGAAGCTCACGGAGGTCTTTGGTGAGGTTAAATTTGGTGGTCGGTGGCGATTCGGTGCCGTGGTCGAGTTGACCTTGCGTCGCGCCGAACCGCGGCAGAGAAGAAGGCGTGCTTTCACTTTGTCTTCGATGACCACGACAGCTTGGTGGCGTCGAGGCTCATGGCACTAGTCACGGGCCAGAGCGTGGTGACGCGACGCTTGATGGTGGCATTGTCACAACAAGCAGCAGCGCTACCGCCCGGCGGCGAAAGCGGGCTCGACGTCGAGCTCGCGACGGCGTTCCCGTGCGTGGGCACGACGATGATGGCATGGGTGCGAGGGCACGTGGCGTGGTATCGTCAAGGCTCCGACGGCTGGTAGTCTTGGGGGGCTCGAGGAGGAGGCGATGGAATAAGAAGACGGCGAGGATGGGGAATGGAGAAGGAGCAGTGGCGCTCGTGACTTTTATAGCGGTCGAAGCTAGGGTTTCGTGGAGAGCAGGGAGCTATGGGCGGCTGCGATCATCGGGGTGCGGCAGCCGGACGCGTGGTGTCCATCCATGGCATAGGGTAGGTGCGCGGCTTAGGAAGGTTTGAGAAGAGGAGCGGGTCGTGGTGTGGTGTGGTCGCGACGCGGGGGCAGTCAGGGCACGATGCGACGCGGGGCCAGTGGTGTCGCGACGTGTGCATAGGGCGAGTCACGGCTCTGGGCGATGTGCACGTAGAGGCATCCGAGGGCGAGCGGTTGGGCACGGGGTCCGAGCGGCGTCGTCTGGCTGGCTAACGGAGGAAGCAGGTGGAGAGGGCGAGGCTGGGTACCATGCGAAGAGGACGGAAGGAAGGGAGACGCGGCCGACGGGAAGCGGCATCTCCGTCTTTTCTTTTCTTCCCGGTGACAAGCGGGACCCACGGTGAAGGAACAGGCCATGCGATTCGTCGTCAGCGTCTTTGCGTATGCTGAGACCTTGAGGAAGGAAACTACTTGTCTTTGTACAAGACATGCGGATCAATGCAAGGAAAGTAAGTGGTGGCAGCGTTGCTACAGCAAGGGCTAAAGGGCGAGGAGGGCGAAGAAGGGCTGCCACAAGGGGAAGCAATTTGGTGATCTTTTTGGGCCGCTTGGCCGTCTTAGCGTCTGAAAGTGGGCCAAAGGAGGAGTGGAAATTTGGCCTCTCTTGGCGTCAGTTGGGCCAAGGGAGGGAGAGAGAGAGAAGGAAACATATTTTCCAATTTATGTTTAAGTGGTTTTGAATTTTGGATTTGAGAAGAATTCACCACATCTTGAGAAGGGTTTCAAGGTGAAATATAAAGGCGGTGTTCGAGGAATCTTTGAGAGTGATTCATATAAACTCCGGTAGAAATTTCCACGAGTGTTCGGATGGGAACTTTTCGAGAGGATATTGGAAAGACTCAAGGAAAATTTGAGGGGAAATTCGGGGAAATCGGCATAGAGTTTGAATAGGAATTTCTAGAGGGGTATTGATGGTACTTGAGATGTGAGCTCCAAGAGGGGCTCGAGATGATTTCCACTGGCGACTAGAGGAGAGTGTCTTTTCCTTTGTTCTCCTACTCCTAGGTCTTATATGTGCGTACCCGCATGTATTAACAACATGCATACTCATCGTGGTGGTCTTCTAGGGGTCTTAGGGTTTAGGGACTCCGGTCCAATGGTCGGCACAAATATAAATGGCAAGTCAGGGTTCTAGTGGGGTTCGGGATTATAGAGAGAGATTCACGGAAGACTCGAAATAATCCCTCGAGAATCACAAGGAGGTTGCTACGGGTTGTGCTCTCCAACAATAATCAAGGCTCAAACACAGGACAACTTGAAAACTCCGGCAATCACCTACAAACCATCTACATGTATGCAATGTCTTGTTAGCGAGTTGGACTCGTGTTTGACCTAGCAATTACATGTTTCACACATTGCAGGAAAAATTATAAAAAGTTCGTATTTTTGGCTTCTCCAAAAACCCGGGTTGTTACAGGTGTGGTTTACTGGGTGCTCCAAAAAACTCAGCGACAACCCTTTGTACTATGTACTGATTTGCATACTGTATAACAGCAGGTTTAGGAATTGTGTGGAGCGGCGCAAGAGTATGGAGTTATGTATAAGCCCGAGCAGCTGCGTAGTGGTTACCTATTTTGGGACTTGGGAAGGCCTACGGGTACTGCCTTTTGGCTGAAGCTTGGAGACACTGGATTTGAACCTGTTTGTGGTATGGAGATGGTGTTATACGAAAGGTACTAACACATGTTAACTGAATATGTATAACAGGATTTTTGCAAATATTATATCCCTGATTAGGCAGTGTAAATAGGAAAAGGACAGTACATTTTAATTATACAGTGTAAATAGGCAGTGAAAGGCAAATACATCTCCATGATTAATTGGAAAAAAATGGCCAGCATAACTAACAACTCAGTTAATTTGAGAACGAACGCTTTAAATATAGTAAGGGAGATTGCATGACTATATATAGCTGTTGTACGTACCTGGTGCGAAGAACGTAAACCACAGTAGCATAGATGATAAAATTGAAAAAATGTAAATTGATTTGGGGAAGAAGCAACCTGCCCAGTAAATATGAAACAAAAAACCAGCACATTAGGAGATTGGAGTTAACTGAAGACAAGAAGCATTCCAAAATTATCACATGAAGAATAGAATACCTGCACAGCGCCTTGAGCTGTTCAGTCCAAATTTGAATGTGACATAATCCATGGTAATAGACAAAAAACTGAAAACCCAAAATATCTCATAAATCCAGACTATAGACGCTTCAAATCTTAAATCAAGGCCACTCTAAATTTCAAACCGAGGTATAAAAAACACTTGTAACTATAATCATCAGCACTACAATACGGCAAGCGCCTTTATATTATGTAAATATGGCATGTCAATAGGCAGCAACAAACCAACTAATACTTTGTCAAGTGAACATGTGGAGGGGGGAAGGTAGGACGTCACATAGCTTAGAAGGGAAAACTTTAAAATTTTGGCAGGGAAATAGACAGCAACAAATCAGCTAATACTTGGTCAAGTGAACATGTGGAGGTGGGAAGTTAGCAGCTCACATAGCTTGCAAGGGAAAACTTTAAGATTTTGGCAGGGAGAACCTATAAATTGGAAAGTTTCTGTAGCAGGGAATAATTATATAAATTTAAAAGTCTAATGTATTATTTGGTTGTAGAGGTTTCATATAGCTTCAATCCAGTTATGTGAGACTGAGATGCAGACATATTAAATAACAGTAGAATGTATGAAATATTTTTGGCACAAAAATCAGCAAGACAGACCATTCAATACCACAGGAGCCGTTCAAGAGTATGCAAATAAGGTCGAGGAGGGTGCGTGTAGGGTCTGGTGGAGCACATCTAGGAAACTGCATCTGCATAGAAGCTGCCGCGAACATGAAATTATCTAACGCAAGGAAATAAGCCTGTAAATAAGACAACACAAAGAGAAGTCATGTATGTAACATATTTAGCACATAGACTAAAAAAACTGAGGTACCAAGCTGCAGCAACAGGCCCAAATTCCATTTTGCTAAACACGACATCATTTTAGGTGTGCAAATACAAACTAACCCATTCAGGTTTCGCACATATAAACCTTGAACTGTTTTTATGTGTGCATAGATAAATATAAATTAAGCCATATCTATTTTTTAAATACAACCTTAGAGACATTTCATGAAGCAATTTGTAGCTCATTCATGTCATTTATACTAATTTAATTTTTTAGCTGGAAACAAACTGAAGATGTGCACAGAGCAAATTGCAAAATGACCCAAAGGAAAAGCTGAAGATATTTTTTTGACGGTGCTAGAACAAAATCATCACAACTTTACCCCCACTGTGTGAAGTGGCCTCTGTGGCAAGAAATCCAGTGTACTCCCCGAAATGGCAAAGAGCAGATGGTTTGCAATGATGAGGTCTGCAATGATGTCCTCTGGAGGAACATCAAGCTCAAATGCTACAGGCTGGGAACAAGGCAGACATGAGAGCGATGATTGTGAACCACTAAATGATACCCTATTATATGCATATAGTAATACATATACTAATTTAACTTTGTAGTAGGAACAAACTGAAGATAACGTGATCGCCGCTGTTGATCTGGCTTGTCTAGACTTCTCAAGACTTTTGCACTGAACTTGTAGATTAGGTGACAGGTGCATCTTTGACCCTGAGCGATTGTTCGAACACACTAGATGTAGTAGAACATCCGAAAAAAATAGAACAACACAGGATACAAAAACAGCTATTAGACGATTTCAGAGAAAATTGTCAGCCGGCAACTGATTCCTTCACAGCTTCTACCTGCGGCCAAACCTAGATTTAATTGAGCAATACACTTGCCAGCAGAAGTGTGGTGGGGTTAGCTGGGTACCTTGCGTCCCATAAATCAACAAGGAGACAGGAGATCCGCCAGATCCAGACTCGGAGCTGAGACGCCACCGTGGCCGTCGGCGACAAAGATGGCACGAGCAGCGGAGCCGTGGAGCACATGCAGGTAGGGTTTCGTGGAAACGGGGCAAGGCGACATCGTTCGGTGGCTGCGTCGCCGGGGGCCGCTCGTGACTCCGGGCTGGCCGTGCTGGGTGCTCTCGCGGGGAACGATGGGATCCGGCCATGGAGGCCTCGGATCGACCCAGCAAACAAGGCAACAACCACAGACTGCACAGATCGACGCTGGGCACCGGCGAGGGAAAGAGAGGAGGAGCAAGGAGAGAGGCCACCTTCACCTGCGTCTGCTCACGCCGGAGCCGCTGCGTGCTGGGTGCGCCCTTGGGGCCCACCGGCGCCATCACACAGCTGTGCCGAGGGGAGCAGTCGGCCCGCTCTGCCGCACCGCCGTGCCTGGGGGCCGCACCCGCTCTAGACAACCATGGCCACACGATGGAAGATCCAACGGCTGTAAACGATGGAGCGGCGCGGTTAGGCTGAGAGGCGGCCCAAGAACGCTGAAGCGGCTACAATCCATCTGGACCGCACGTTGGGAGATCGGACGGACGAAAAAAATGGGGCGACGTGGACGGTCTGGTTGATGGCCAAAGCTCCCTGCTTTGATAATAAGAGATATTGCCATATTGGACATTAGAATATGCTCCTTTCAAGTTCTTGCATAAAAGAAAATTTTGCAGTCATGTGAGGAAGAACGGCCGCACGGAGGCTAGGGTCGAGGGCATAGCTTTTATTAGGTTTTGACGGGTGAAAATTAGAGACATATTTTTAAAAGTAGTTTTTAGAAAGCCTAATTCAACCCCTCTCCTAGGCGTCACATTCCCTTCATCGCCAACGCCAATACCAAGTCTAGCACTAACACTAAGGCCAACCACCAAGGCTAGCACCAACACGTGTCTAGGACAAAACCAGAAACAAAGATCACCACCGCCATTACAAAGGGACGAAGAAAAAGTGGGGAGGCGAGGAGCAGAGGGGAGAGGAGATGGATAAAGATAGCCAAAATAGGCTGCTTCGATGATCGAGGGACTAGACTCCTCGACTTGAGATGGAGGAGTGGGAGTGATGACCTAGGCGGAGCGAGGAGTGGATAAGGTAATGCGAGAGCGAGGGGGCATGGGTGGGGTGATAGGGTTAAGTGGTACGATGGCGTGGTTATATACTGTAGGGGGTGCTAGGGGAATGGCCTAGGCACAACTTGTAGACACAAGTTGGGCTAGCATAGGGACGCCAAGTGTCGTGACGCGCTATGCCTAAGCCGGGCCAAACCCGCGGACCATAGGCTAGCTCATGAGCATCAAGTTGTGTCGGTGTTTCGGACCGGGGGGTCCTCAACCGACTAGTGAATTTGTTCTGCGTGCTCCCGATTCCGGATGGTGATGCAAAGAGACACAAGGTTTATACTGATTCGGGCAATCGAGGCCCTACGTCCAGTCTGAGAGATCGATCTTGTATTCCTTGCACCGAGGTGCTCGTAGTAGGGGGTTACAAGCTAAAGGAGAGAGGAGCTGGTCCCAGTCTCGGCAGTAGTGTCGTCGTGCGGGCCGCTTGAGATGTTGCTCTCGGTAGCGAGGATGGATGATGTGTATGTGTGTGTGTGTTACAAGGTTTTTTCCCCCTGCCCTTAAAACAACCCATGTCCTCTCCTTTTATAGCATGAAGGAAGGACTAGGGTGGTACATGAGCTGACTATACGGCATCGTGTGAACAGAGGCGGCGTGTCTGGGCCTTGTAGCCTGTTCCTGTGGTGGTGTGGCCGTCGGAGTGGTCCGTCCTTGGAGCACTGGGGCGATGTGGCCGTCCTATCAGATCCTGTGCGGCGTGGGAGCCCCGAGACGTGCAAGCCACTGTGGACGGACTGCGCGCGAGGCCGAGACTAGGTCGGTGTCGAGGTTGCACCATGGTGGAGGGTCTCGGCGCAGCACGATCCCTAAGATGGCCGAGACCTAGGTGTCTACGGTGCCGAGGCCTCGAGTGGGCTTTGCCGATCGTGGTGGGTGCAGTGTTAGGGACACGGTGGCGGTAATTCCGTCGTACCTGTCCCGGCCGGTATGGCATGGATCGTGGATCTGACGTTAGGACACGATGGCGGTAATCCCCGCCAGTACCTCATCCAACCAAGATATGTACCGATGCGACCTTGGGTCGCGTCGGCCATTCTCATGGCGTTGAGCCGTCGTCCATTTGAGATTGTGGGAGTGGTTGAAGCATTAATGGGACATGACACGTTGTCTGGAGGGTCGGTCGAGGCGGGGGGTGATGGGCTGCGGGCGACCCGGCCTCGAGCGACACGGAGGCTGGGGCCTCGCACTAGACGGAGATCGGGTTCCTTGTCGAGGCCTTGCGAGACGCCTCGCGCGATACGGAGAATGTACCCCTGCCAAGGCCTTCCCTAGAGAGCCTCGGGCGAGACGGAGACGACGCCCCCTGCCGAGGCCTACCCTGGGGAGCCTCACGCGAGGCGGAGTTTGTTCCGAGACCTCGAGGCTCGAGGCGAGGTGGAGGAGGGCTCGGTCGTGGCAGGTCAGGGGCCCATGGCTTACCTTCTAGCTTTATTTTGATGTTTGCTTGGGGTACCCCATTCTAAGGTACCCGACAGTAGCCCCCGAGCCTCGGGGTTAGTGCGTGCACTCTCCCTGAGGGTTCGTTCAGCCTGGGTTTATGCCCGCCCGTAGGAATTGGTTTTGTTTTCGAGGTTCCGGTGGGTGTGTGGCTCCACCGTGTAGTTTTCCGAGCCCCTAGAGGGTGAAGTTACTCCTCCAGGGCTTTCTCCACTTTCGTTTGAGTGATCAGTTCTTATTGCATTCTTTGAGCCCATAAGCACAAGTTCGGGTTGCGGGGTCTCATGCGAGGTTGCAAAAAAAGGCCCTCTTGCCTCCGCATGGAGCGAGAGGTTCGTCGCGAGGTCCCCCGACGTTGGGTATGTCCCTCACGCTTCCTTTTGCTCGGAAGGAGGGGTGGAATGTGCCATGCTACCCTCGATGGGCACGCAGCGGACACTTTCGGTGAGTGTTATCGGGTAGTCCAGTGGAGGCCCGAGCCCCGTTCGCTAGGGGATGGCTAGCGGTCCGAGACGACTCCAAAAGTACCGAAGGATTTCTCTAGTGGGTGCCGAGGGCCGTTCATTGGGCCTCGGTGGCTCGGTGCCTCCCTACGGTGGGATCCCATTCGGATACTTTCTGTCGATCTCGAACACGACTTAGGACGCCCGAGCGACTGCTCGTTCGGGCTGGGCCATTCGTGAGGCTCGCCCGAAGTCATCCCGACTCTATTGCCCCTGGGCGGCTATCGAAACCTCTTGGAGGCCCACCTTGAACCCTGGACCGTGAATGGGCTCGGTGCCCTTTATCGTGTTTTGTCTTGGTTTTTGGGTGCAAGAGAGCCCCGAGCCTCCGCTGGAGCAAGAGGACGGTCCGGGGTCTCGACTTTTTCATTCGCCCTCACATATCCTTTTCGTTCGGACGGAGGGTTCGTTTGTCGAGCCCATTCTCGGTCTCGGCAAGGTCGCAGGAAGAGCCCTAGCCTCTTTTTGCAGAGCGAGAGGGCCGTCGGGAGTTCCCCGACTTTTTTATACGCCTCATGGCGTGAGGGGTTTGTTGCCGAGCCCATTCTGGTCTCGGCAAGGTCGCAGGAAGAGCCCCTAGCCTCTGCTGCAGAAGCGAGAGGGCCGTCGGGAGTTCCCCTGACTTTTTATACGCCCCTCGCACGTGAGGGTTTGTTTGCCGAGGCACCTTTGGGCGCGAGCCCAGGTCGTGGGGTCTCGGCATATTTGTAGGAGGAGCCCCCTAGCCTCTGCATAGGGCGAGAAGGCCGTCATGGGTTCCCCTGACTTTTTATGCAACCCTCGCGCTTCCTTTTTGCTCGGAAGGAGGGGTGGAATGTGCCTCTCTACCCTCGATGGGCACGAGCGGTGGCACTTCCGGTGAGCTGTTATCGGGTAGTCCGAGTGGAGGCCTGAACCCCGTTCATTAGGGGACGGCTAGCGGTCCAGAGACACACTCCAAGAGTACCAGAGGATTTCTCTAGTGGGTGCCGAGGTCGTTCGTTGGGCCTCGGTGGCTCGGTGCCTCCCTACGGTGGGATCCCATTCGGATACTTTCCTGCCGGTCTCGGACACGACTTTGGGAGTCCCAAGCGTTTCGCTCGCTTGGGTCTCGGCCCCGAATAGGCTCGCCCATGATCGCCCCCGACTCTTATATCACAGGGGTAGTGTCGAAACCCTTTTGGGGTCCAGCCTTCGAACCCCTGGATCGTAATGGGCTCAGAGCCCGGTTCCTTCCTATGAAAGGAACAGGCCGCGGGAAATATCTTCCCTATTGGCTCGGCCGCGAGTGGCGCGCCTTTTGAGGCAGTTTTATTGGGAGTCGAAATGGTACCTGCTGCCGTAGTGGCCGAGCGTGGCGTGGTGGATGGGACGTAACCGTCCTCGCATTTAATGCGGGAGACCTAGGCGCGTGGGCCGGTGAAATCGGCTCGTGGTTAATCAAGCGCCAGATTGGGGGAAATCTCCCGATTTCATCGCTCATTCGTTTCGCCTCCTCCTGCATAAATACCTGTGGAGTTTTGCCCTCCTCGTCTTACCTTGCCTGCATCAGCACCGCCCCCGCCGAGCCGTCGCTAGAGCAGCGAGTGCCGTTAAGGAGAGGAGGAAGAGCGAGCCTAGGGAGGAAGCGAGAAAAAAGTGAGAGCGTGGGAGGGAGAGAAAAGACTCACCGCCGCACTGATTCCCTAGCGCACCCATGGCGGTGATATCGTTGTCGCCCGAGCGGACCCACAGGATCCGTCCGGACATCACCGAGAGATGCTCCGATCGCTTGTCGACGGTGGGCTCCTCGCCCGGTGATTGACTCCACCGAGCCGTAATGGATTGCTCCATACTGGCGAGCCGGAGCCGAGGCCTCGCGGCGGCTATGTCGTAAGCGTCTCCTTCCACGAAGCGTGGCCTCGGCGTCCCGGCGGGACGGTTCATGCGGTGGCGCTACGCACTACTACGGCGTGGAGCTCCACAATTTTAATCCCAACTCCGTTGCTCGGTGGCTATCTTTGTTGCCGTCTGAGGGGTATTTAGGGATCACGCCCCATTGGGAGTTGTGGCTCCATCTGTTCCGGGCGGGGCATACTACAAAGCCATCGGGCACATCGGGCAAGAGGAAGGCGGCGAGGGCCGGAGGTTGCACTCTCCAAGTGCGTCAGGACCGCCTGCACCTCTACATCCCGGCCCAACTCGCGTCCTCCAACCGCCGGTGGTACACGAGTTGGTTTTATCTTCGTAATGATGACGGAGGGCTTCCCCCCTACACCGGGCGGATTGTGGGGAGTTGCCCAGAGAAGTGGAAGTGGGGCG